GGGTTTGCCCCCCCAGGCTCGGTTTTGCACTGCAAGGAAAAAGAGTCCCCCGACCGATGGCCATACAAAACAAATGCAAACAGTGCAGTGCAGTAACTGAGGCTGAGGCCCGTGTCGGCAGGGGACTCGAAGGACTGGGGTTCTGGGCCAAAAACATGCTTTGCCCCCTGCCGCTTTGAGCAGGTCTTGGTTTTCCTACAGGTGGAGTGAAATCGAATTGAGGCGCAGAGGGTCCCCCGAATTCTCACTGGGTTTTCAGGTGAGTTGAAAAGATACAAGGATTGTCGGGCGTTGTGGCCCTATACACGGGTTGAACGGAGAGGCACTAACCCGTTAAGTCTTCACACCTATCCCCCTCAGAAACTGCGACGGTCTTTTCCAGTAGCGGTTGGCACACCAAGTTGTCGAAGCAAAACTTGCAAAGGGACGAGTCCCCAAGGAGTAGGCTTCCACTGTTTAGCTTCGAGAGGCATCATCTTGTGCAAGGGCTCTTTCTGTAGGAGCTTTGGCCATATGTGCCTGTACCAGCTGTATACTCCCCGCCAGTGCTCGTTGGGAACGAGTTGGAGACGTCCCCTCGCCTTCGGCTCGTTCGGTCGAACCGCAAGGTGGCTCGGGCTGCCACCCCGATCGGACGGGCGACCGGCGTCCCCCCATGGCCACTCGTAGGTTGGTGCAGCGTCGTCACCAGAACTGTCCCCCAGTCAGGCGGCGTGTCCGCGTTCATGCCCTCCCTTCTCTCACTGACTGTGTCTGCGTCCTTCTTTGTCAAATGCTCGGGTCTTGTCATTTCTGTTGGCTCTTCCCCCTGGGCCTTGCTACGGTCTGTTCCTGAGCGTCTGAACCAGTCTCCAGTGCAGCGGCTTCCCCCGAGCTGCTGGGAGTTGTTTGTCTTGTCTGTCGTCGTCTCCCCCGCATTTTGCGGATCTGCTTGCGGACTTTCTTGATCTGTTTGAGCAGGTCCCCCACCTCTTCAGGAAAACGGGCCACATATATGCGCGCTTCAGCGAACACCTTTGGCTGGTACTTATCCACCAAGCGGGGGTACTTGTCCACTACGTCCCCCATACGGCATCGTCTGGTGTGTCGTTTGCAGAAGGCCATATAAGATGCAGTGAGCTTCCTGGAGAGTGGTTTTCCTGTGGTAGCATCTCTGTATCCCCCGGCACTCTGGTCTTCGAGAACCTCTTTCCCGATCCAAGTGTCCATGGGCTGAGGCGCGAACAGCATTAAGTTCCCCTGCCTTGTCCGGAACTGGGTCAACTCCGACAGCGGCCGTGGAGCATTTGCAGCATCCCCCTCTGGCTGGGGTGGCTGTCCACTCGATGCCGCTTCCGACGACTGTCTGGGCCTGCTGTTCCCCCTGTCCGTCACCCCATGTAATCGGCAGTTTGGGTCCGTACGCTCATGTTGTTTTCGGAACCCCTGGGTACACACACCATCCCCGAATTTACACAGCTTACACTCTTTCGCCATGTCCACCGTAAGTTGCTATTCACTATCTTGTCCTTCCTGCCACAGCCACGGACTGGTACTCGAAGGCGTCCCCCGCCCAGCGTTGAAGTAGCGGGTGATCAGCGGAGCGGCAAACGTAAGGAAGTTGTGCGGGCAGTGGATGGTATCCTCCCCGGCAAACGTGTTGAGGTTGAAGGTTTTGCAGTCACGAAGTCCCCTCCAAGGTCGTAGTGTTCGATCGTTACCTTCACGGTTATGGCACGCGGACCTTCCCCCCAACAGGGCCTCTGAAGCAAAGTGGCAGCAGGTACAAGACTCAAGCCTTCCCCCGCTTGAAGGAACGTCCACACTCCAAGGTTGCTGGGAACAGCCAGCAGCCTCGGAGGGCCGTCCTCAAGCGCCCCCCCCACAGGAGAGAGCGGCGGGTCGACTTGAGCCAAAATGGCTACAAAGTCTCTCTCTCCCTCTCTCTCCCGGGTGTAGGGACGTGTCACCGTCCCCGGGCAAAAATGCCCATCCGATCCTTTTGATCAGGTTAGCGGGGAGTGAAGAGCGAACATTAGCCACTCTCGCGCTAAGGCAATAACTAAGCTAAACTGAAGAATAAGAGTGGCTGAATGTTCTCAACGACACAGTCAACAAAGTCTCTCTCTCTCTCGACGGGGAAAGTCTCAGTCTCTCTCTCTCTCTCTCTCTCTTTCTTTCGGCAGGGTTAAGGACAAGGGGGTCTTTCTTCTTCGCCAGGGCATGGGAGGAAGGGGGTCTCTCTCTCTCTTTCTTTCGCCAGGGCTGTGTGCACAGGAGTTGCCTCTCTCTCTCTGTTTCGCCCTCATTTGGAGCTTGGATTGAACAACGAATTGGCCCCATTGATAGGAGTGAAGCCTCATGCAAAAGCCGTTGACTTGAAACTCAGGTTCGTCCAATCTCTCCCTCCTTCTCGGACTGTCGTGTAAATAGAGTTGCCGAACTATGGCCCAGGGCTACCTTCTTTACAAGCAGCATCTCGCAACTAGCCTTGCGGCTGAACTTTTCTAAATATGCGATTTTTCAATACCTAAACAGATATCTTATACTACCTCCGCTGGCTTCGGGCCCGGGCCGCCAAGCCCGATTGAGATCCCCCTCCACCCATCCACCCCTCCAAGCTCCACTCCAGCCCTCCACCCTTCCACCTCCACCCCCCTCCCCCCACCACCCCTCCGCCCTTCCACCAGGCCTAAACCGTAAACCCTTTCAACTTAACCAACGCCTTGAGATTGAGAGTTTAGGGCATGAGTGAGTGAGTCGTGGGCACTGTCACTTTGCGCGTGCGGCAATTGTCTCTCCACCCCCACCTCCACCCCTACACGTTTCCACGCTTCCACCCCTCCCCTCCCCTCCCCTCCACTCACTCCACCCTCGTCCCCTCCACCCACACTCATCCACTCCAGGTGGACGGAGGGGTGGAGCGGTGGAGGAGTGCAGGGAGGTGGAAGGAGCTGGAGGGGTGGAGGTTGGAGGTTAGGGGTGGAGGCGTGGAGGGGTGGAAGGCTGCAGGTTGGAGGGGTGGAGTTTAGTGAGGAAAAAAAGATCGAAACAGCACTTTATACTCCCTCTGTGGCTCCGGGGGCTGGACCGCCCGACGCGTATTTAAAAAAATCAACGTGCGGGTGTTGTGTTGAAACTCTTGACTACATATGCGGCTGTTCCCTGTGTATTTGTTTTCTGTTGTCTTCCGTCTGTGTGTGTGTGTGTGTGTGTGTGGCCCCGGAAATTCCATGGGTCACTGTAGATACCCGTTCGAAAGTCACCTCAACCCTCTGTCAACGATTCCAGCCAGCTGTTTTCCCTACCGGTGGCTGTTTCTCAAGCCGGTGGCTTCACGACCGTGCGGTTTTGCCTTGGAAATCAGCCGGCTGTGTTCCGTCGTCGACAAATGACCTGGTTACCTGGGTGTCCCCTGGTTTCTGTTACACCGGTGTCGAACACGGGAGGGGTTTGCCCCTTTTCTAAGGAGGCATGGCGATCGACAGTTTTACTTGTTTTGGGATGAATGTGCATTTAATCCAACGAGGCTGAGAGGGACAAGTAGTATCTCGCTCTCTTGCTTGCTTGCTTGCGAGGCGTTTGGGAGGGAAAGCGCGCTTCCCCTCCCCTGCGCAGCGCGCTACGCCACGGTTCGGGCTCTCTCTCGGTTTTATTTGCTACGGCTCCGCGAGCGAGTTGGCGCGCCTTGGCGCTGACTCTCTTCTCCTTATATAGGTCTTAGGTCTTAGGTGTCTGGCTATAGGGGCGTACTCAACGTGCGGCCCGAAGACAGATTCAGATGCTATTACCCCAGGTGGTTCAGCGGCAAAGCAGTGGCTTCAACGCAGAAAGGGATTTGTCTACCTCGTCGTCTACCTTGTAGCTTGATACGGTCCTTGTCGGGAGCTTGAAGGACAACTGAGTAGAGTGGATCGTGTCTGAGGGAGGTGTATACCTTTGCAGGGAAATAACATACGCTCAACTTTCAAAGCTGATCCGAAGGTGTTCTGGGATTGTGGTCAGCATACTGCGTGATTGGTAACTCTGGAATAAAAGGCTGCATTGATGCCAACGATTTTACGGAAGTCTTGTAAACCGCGGTTTGATCAGGCTGAATGCATCCAAGCCATACAGCAACGTGGGCAGAAACACATCGACGGCTAGGTCTTGACTTCTGAAGGATGGCGTGCGCCGGTCCTTGCTCTGAAGCTCTGCGCGGGAATAGCCGACCAACTCTTCAAAGCCTTTTGAAATGAAGTCGAATCTGCCATCCTAGCCAAAACAGTTCAAATCTGTGAAAAACGCACGCACACACACACACACACTTTCTCTCTCCTCCCCGATTTGCAGTGTCCTCAAAGCTGCGCCGGTTGGAAGCACAGGCAGCAACTGCGGACCTGCTCCGAGAGATGGCTTCGTCGACAGCTTGGACCAATCGTCCTCCACAATCAACTTCAAACTTTAGCTTCGCTTGCTACGCTGTGAACTGTGCAAGAGCTGTCTCAAAGTCAAGTCCTCTCTGTGACTGGCTATCGGGTAAAAAAGAGATCTCTTCATCAAAGTCTATGTCATCGTCGTTGATGTCCGCTACTGAGATGTCCCCTGACATTGGGATATTTACGTTTTCAGTCACTGCTGAGGCAGGAGCTCACAGACATGAACATCGACATGCAGATGGCCATTTTGCTTTCGCACTGGGACCCGATGGACTACGCGAACAAGGCGAGTTCGCTCGCGACAAACACATCAAGCTCATGCGAACCACAGCACCGCAGACCTCCTTCCGGGACTGACGTCTCCTCTGTCTGAAACCTGCCACCTCGTCAGAGTTGGCGGCTAGCAATGATCGCAGCAGGGGCGGATAGAACTGAAGGCACGCCCAAACTCTGATGAGCACAGTCGGACCGGAAAATGCCAGCCGAAGCCTCCACAGCCGCTTGCCTTGCCGACCTCCAGTGGATCTAAAACATGAGGCGGAGGTGGACCAAAGATCGAGGGGAACCTAAGTTGGACAAGCGATGCCCCACTTCTGCAGGTGCACTGCCTCTGAAGGAAGCTCGCTACTGTGCTGTCCTACATGAGACGACTGAGCTGCAGGCAACGGAAAGGAGCTACGACTTCCCAGCTTCGGCAACATGGTAATGAAGAACCACTTGCAGTGATGCCCCGAGTACCTTCTTTGGTGCTCTGAGAATATCTGTAGACTCGTATAGACTCTCATTATGGAGACGACGACTTCGAAATCATTGTACTATCCTGGATCTTCATTGCTGGCGTATGCCCTGTCTTCATGCTTGAGCCAAGTCGTCCTCTCAAATCAGATCGTAGACAAGCCTGAGCGCAGGCGTGCCCGCGCACACACACACACACACACTCATACACACACGCACACACACAAACACACACACACACACACACTCACTCACTCTCTCGCAGTCAGAAAACCATGTCTCTGGACAGGTGCACCACCGCAAGTGCATCCGTGGCCTCTTCGAGTGAAAGCAACATACCCTGGTCCTGCGCATGACACTCATGACGGCTGCAACCAATTGTCGCGTGCACTTTGTCTAGGCAGGTCGACGCCTAAGCATGCCTAAGCCGAGGCCGATCCCTTCCTCCTCCAAAGAGGTGTCGTATTTCTGCTCAAGCAGCTGTGCCAGTCCTTGCCGACCAAAGAACAAACGGCAAAGTGACAAGACTTGCAAGGCATCTTCTGGCGACAGGCGACTCTACGAACTGGCGCGTCACAACTCTAGCACAGTTTCGGCAAGGTCGTCAGATCCCGAGTCATGCCACGTGCGTGCGAAATGCCTCAATGGGTCTAGCTTTACAGATCTAAAGCCAAACTTCGGAAGCGGCGGCTGCAATTCTACTCCCTGGGCTCATGGGGCTTCCGTTGCCGTGACGACACGACACTCTTCAACATCACAATATTCTGGCAGCTGAAACTCGGTTTTCTGTTGGTATCACAGCAAGGGGGACTGGCTATCCAGGCAGTCTAACGAAGAGGCTTGCATTGGGTATCATCAACCGGACCTGCCAAGTTTCACCATTCCGAGTTCACAGGCTGAGCCTTGAGTCCGCTATCTGCAAAACAGAGAACAAGATTGGGACACATGATGAAGCCAGCTTTCGGAAGAGATCAAGCAAGAATTGACAACCGCCAGAGACCGGGACCTCCCTCTCTGTGTGTGTGTGTGTCTCTCTGTGTGTGTGTGTGCGCGGGTGGGTGTGGGTGGGTGGGTGGGTGGATGGGTGGGTAGGTGTGGCTGGGGGCGTGCGGGTGTGGGTGTGGGTATGGGTGCGTACGTGCGCGTGGCTCCATTCATGTATATACGCAGGGGGACGGGCAGGGAGCTGGATCGGGGAGCCTCATATGATCAACTTGCAACGGCTATCCGTCATTGTGCCGTGTTGATCATCATCATCGTCATCGTCATCAACATCATCGTCATCGTCCTCAGCCTCATCATCCTCATCATCCTCATCCTCCAAATTAAAGTGACTCGACTTCGAAAGTTGACGTCGAAGTTTAAATCACGAGCTGCTCTGGGCTCAACTGATCACCACAGCCTGGGGCCGGAATCGCTGACGAGTCCGTGATGTGACATGAACCTTGAACATTTTGAGCTGCTTTCCGGAGACGGACTGATGTCCGTAGTATGGTTGCGACATGAGTGCCATGCCATGCTGGCATCGACAGTCAGTGTTGTCGATCTCTCTTCATCCCACTTGCTTGCTTCCTTTCTTTTGGGTGTCTTTGCCTACACACACGCTGACGCAGTGCGACTGATACAGTATTTCCGCGCCGTAATTCATGTGTTTCTTTGCAGTGAGAGCTTCGCAACAAGCAGCCGTAGAGCTTTGCCAGCAGCGTCTCTGGCAGCTCCTCGCCTGCAATGCGAGGCTCTCGCTGCAGAGTCGGCACGGCCAGGCCATGCCAGGCCATGCCAGGCCTTCCGTGCCGCCGAGGTCGATCACTGGATCTGCGCCGCCTCACAAGAATCTCGTACAAGTAGCAGTACCCATAGCCACAAAGACAATGCTAGGAAGCGCGGTTGAGCTGGCACGTACACAGATCCTTTTTGGCACGGGCATATGTTCACAAAGGGAATCTCAGCGATTCACTCGGTTCTCAGCATCTGTGTTGTGTCGGATTCTTGTTGCTCAGCGACACAACCTTCTGCATCAGAGGCGGGGAATGGTGGGCGGTAAAGGGTGAGTACGCCTGTTGTCGAACACTCACCGTCACTCAAACAGGTGAGCTGGCACAAGGCCTGCACAAAAAAACACCCCACGGCCCGGCAGAAAAGTCCTTCGGCCAATCCTTCCAGCCGATACTGAAGGGATGCAGTCACTACGGGTGTTAGGCAGCGAATGTGAAGAATAGCATGAATAGCAATGGCGGGCGGCTGAATCAGTTTGTCGGGTGGAGGTTTTCCGGTATATGATCGGGATGGTGCACTCCACGAGGAACCTGACACCGTTGGCCTGAGCCAAAAGTATGCGGGATGTGCGAGGGGCTGCGAAGGCGGGAGGGATCACGCCTGACCCAAGGCCATCCATATCTGTCGTGCGATTCCATTGTCTGCTGTTCTCTTCGCTTCCAGCAGAACAGAAAGCATCTAATTTAGCTTGTTCAGGGCTGTCTCCCTCATCCACACCGCTGCTTGCAGCATTGCACTGTGGGATTACTGTGCATTTGGCTTTTCCGAGACATAAAACAACATCGCTAGAAAAGTTTGGAAAACAGTGTAAAGCCCGAAACAGGCGGCGAGCCGCCTGCTCTTTGTTGACGGTACGTGGCAAACTCCGCATCTGTCATGCACATGACCTGTGCCACAAGCATCGTTTACACGCTGATCTCTTGCATCCCCAATCTTCTCTGGCACTTTAGTGCATTTGCGGGCTTGGTGCTTCCTATTCTCGTTTGTTGCAGGTCGTGACAGTCTCTCGTCGGAGGAAGAAACATGTAGAGCACCAGCAGCATCGTCGCCAAGTCGTCAGGAAGGATGTCCGTGGGAGATATGCAGAAGGAGCCCCGGCCAATACCACAATCCTCGCTGTGGACAATCTCTGGACGACTGCACACGTTGGGTCGTGAAACTTCGTCCTCTGTCCTGCAGAAGAGACAGCCGCGCGCACAGGAAATCTTCCTGGCAAATATGCAGATGGGCAGATGATCAACTCGTTCTTGCAGGTGCGAACCGCAAGCGCTAAGACTTTGAGACGACGAATGCATGCGGAATGGCCAGCCTGTGGCACACACAGGTCCTGCCTCATCTTCCGCGGCGTCTGTCTCGTCCTTGCCCGTGCGGGGAGAAAGCGGTCTACATGCACTTGCTGATGACAGTTCCGAACACGTGCCCGCAGTCTGATATATAAGTTTTATAAGTACCTCGGCACACCGATGGCAGCTTGGTATCAACAGGTGTGGGCACACATAGTCCCGAGAGACATCGCTAGGGAGAGTGCTTCGACAGCGCACCCTCTGTGCCACTGAGAGAAGTGACCCGTATCTGAGTCTCGTATGGTCGCCTAGCGTAGAAGCTGCTAGAAGAAGATAATACCTTCGAGGGAACTGTACTGCCGGTGTCTTTTCCTATATTCTGTCTTTTGATTGACCGTTGGACGGTCGAAACGATTCCAAACACACTTCGTGCCAACATCGACACTCCAGTAAAGGCAGGGTGGCAGCGGTGGGCCTTGCAAAAGTGCATATGTGCCAGCGCTGAACTCACCTGACATCGAACTTGAAAGGTGTGCACTAAAGGACACAACACACCAACTACGAAAGCTCTACTTAGTACGGCTTGGTTGTACTTGGTTAGTAGTTAACCAGGATTCGGCAGGGAGATCAATCCAAGTACAGAAGCTGCTGCAACAAACAGACTCAGCCTGAGTCGCTGTACGAACTCGACATTTGCGTGATGTCCAAGTACGACTGCCCCATGCTGCTTGCACTGCATACCAGTAGCATGCTACCAGTAGTAAGGCGACTGGTGCAAGCAAGGTCACCACATCTGCCGGTGTGACAAGAAGATCATCGCATGGGCGCGAACTGTCCCGAAATCCACCATTGAGGAGCCATTGGATGTTGCCCTTGCATGCAACTTGCTCGTGTCAAGCATCTTTTCCAACACACATCAGCGACGGTCCTGCATGCCATAGCAGTTGAAGATCTCCTCGCCAGCAGAAATGTCCCGCTCTGCGTGGAACAAAAGCTGCTCGCCACCTGTTGTACACTTCGGGACCCGGTGGTGAAACCCAACTCTGTTCATGTGTCTTGGCTTCCTGTGGCAAGCAGTAGTTGGAAGGCACTGCGGTGGCAACATCCGGGTTTGTTCTAGGCAGGCTGTCCCAATGCACTTCCGAATGTTTGGGCTTTTGTGCATCTTAGAACCCCGATCGGGGGGCTCAAACTCTGTTGACATCGCTTGGCGCACTCGCTTGCTATCGCACACTGTCCTCCATCCCTCCCTCTCCTTCCCTCCCCTCCCCTCCCCTCCCCTCTGCCCTTTTCTCCCTCCTTGTCACAAGTACGGCTGACCCGGCAGGCAGTACCCCGAGCACGCTTGATGGCTCGGTGTCTGCGCTCAGGGTTTATAGGTTTCAGGTTGTTTCACAGTCAGAGCGCTTGAGAGTTTAGTGTCTGTAGAATAAAACGGTCAGCACCATGTTGAGAGATGATGCATAAGATTTCAGCTGGACGGAATCGGAAACAGGTTAAGTGATCCCTGCCAGAAAATGCCAATCGGGAGTTGGTACTGTATTGTCAAGGGTCCAGCATGCCGCAACATCTGTGCCTTCGAAGTAGAACGTGAACGTGGGTGGATCTATAGTAGGAAGGAGAGAGAGGGAGAGAGAGAGAGAGAGAGAGAGAGAGCGAGAGAGACCGAGCGAGCGAGAGAGAGAGAGAGAGAGAGAGAGAGAGATGGACTTATATATATATATATGTCATGTATGCGGATATACACATATCGATCTATCTGTCTATCTATATCTTTCCATCTATCCATCCATCGATCTACCTAGCAATCTATCTAACTATTCCTCCAGTTTTGCGAGGGGGTGGGGTTGGGGGTCGGAAATAGGTCCAGGCATGTTGCCCGGCAGCCGTTGTTGAGGGGGGGGTCAGGAACTGTTACCGGGACAGGCTTAGTAGGATACTGGGTTATAGTGGGGCTGTGCCAGGAATCCGTGACTTCGGCAAGAAATAAGTCTGGGGCCAGGGGAGTCTTGTGGGCCTTTTTGTAAAGCTCCTACTAGCGGAAGAGTGAGAGACCCCCCCTTGTGCTGTGTCCCGTCCAATTTACCTAGCCACTCATTCGCGGCGGCCTACATCCGGCACTTTCGGACTTTCTGCATCTCCATGATTATCTCCATGACAAGTCAACACGACATCGAAGGATGAAGCAGCCAAGCCGATACTCTCGCATCAAAATCAATATGCTTATACATAAACGATTACATTAAGTGTATAAGCCATTGTAAACCTACACACATACATACCTACGTACGTACGTACGTACGTACGTACGTACGTACGTACGTACGTACGTACGTACGTACGTATATAAGTAACATACATAGATATATACACATAGATACACAGTCACATATGAATATAAGTAAAACAGTATATGTGTACATATATATATATTATGCTTCGAAAATACGATTATTCTTCGTTCTTCCGCAGTACATACTAGAATATACTGTAAAGGTACACTACTGTACATCATATTTGAGCATTAACTATATCATAATACATAATGTTATGTTATATTGTAGGCATAGCCCATTAAACTGAATTTTGAATATGTTGTGATCTTATGTTACAATTTTTAAACTATATTATGAGACATTATATTCATACAACTTATATTCAAGAAATACTATGTACAATACAATAATATATAGATATGTTGTTATAATGTTATATTACTGTTTTATGCATTATATATATATATATACATATTATATGTATGAATGCTGTCATCTTCTATCTTATTATACGACAATGTAACTATTTCGCTTTATTATACTACATGTTATGTTATGCAGTATATATTCTGTACTACACATTCCGTATTATGTACTATAGTATTCAAATTATGCTTTACATATTGTAGGTTGTTCACCTAAATTACACATAACCTAAAAATATGTCTTACAAATATACGTTATGTATTATACATTACCATAGTTTCTTGGATGTTATGTTCCTTTCTTTACTTTTGTCTTCGATTGCAATATATTATATTTTTTCGCACCCATACCGGACAATTAAATATCCGTTGTTCTGAAAAGAAAAAGCACGGGGCTTGTAGGTACAGTTTGGCAGAGCCACTGCCATTTCCCAGCGCGGGCGCAAGCGTTGCTGGCCGAGTTGTAGCAGAAAATATTCGGCCTCGTTTCGGCGGGATCCTAGAAACCCTGCTTGATTGAAAGATGCAATCCGTGCAGCACCTTGGGCTGTTTGCCAACAAGCTTCCAGGTGAGGCTGAACAGCGAGTCTCAATTCTTCGGGCCCGCAAACCGAGCCAGGCCACAGTTTGTCCCTTGACGACAGCCGAATCTACAAGGTTGCCAGTCGAATCTTTCCAAAATAAAACGAACAAACATTCGGTGGCAATGGGCAATGGCTGCTGGCCCGCCGGAGGCGAAAGCAACGCGAAGTCGAGCAGGTCAAGTGCCTCCTGTGCTGCGTTTCACTTTCCATGGGTTACTTGACGGTAACACGCAGGGGGTTTTAGCCTGCGCAGCATTCTTGAAGATCACGGAAGCGTCTGCTCGTGTCTATAAATAAAGCTTTGGCTTAAGTTTAGAGACGCTGTAAGGCCTGTACCACACCAACCTTGCTACAGCTTGTAGTCAGCATACTGCCATGAGCGACGGAAGCTAGCAAAGCACACAACCACTCAGAGAGCAGCAACTAGCAAACCTAGACCCTAAAGCCCTAACCATCAGCAAAGGATAAACTCTCAGAACCCCAAGGCCAAAGCAGTAACTGTAGAGATACACCGGGGGCGGTAACGATAGTGCATGTCTGCACCAACCCTAAACACCCAAAAAGCCACAGGCAAACCTGGAACTCTAATTAAAACCTCTACCTATAGTCTCCTTTACAAGAGAACCCAAAAAAGGAACTACAGCAGAGACTATAGGTAAAGCTCTAAAACCCAAGCACCCCAAACCCCAAGCATGAACATCACAATAATCTAAAGACCATCCTCAAAAAAAAACACATAGGACCCAGGGCACCTGCCAGCGCGCAGCTTGGGCGCATGCTCCGATAGCCGCAGCAAGGCAAACGGTGTCAGGGTTGGGCTCCCTTCCTGCAGAGTCCAGGGTTTAGGCTTTTAGGGTTTAGGGCTTTAGGGCTTAGAGTTCAGGGTTTAGGGCTTTAGGGTTGAGGGTTTACCTTAACACCGAATAACCTATCTTTTTAAGGGCTTAGATAAGGAAAATGTAATAGGGAACCCTAAAGACAGGTAGATTATTTTGGGGTTCAGGTAGGGTTTGGGGGAGATCTCGGGTCAAAAGTTTCCGGCTTGCTTCCCGAAGCCCAAAACCCTGAACCCAAACCCCACAAACCCTAAACCCTCTAAACTAAACCCTAAACTCTGAACCCTCAAAAAAAATTATGGCCCTCCAGGGGTATTGCAGGGGCCTTAACAATCTACAACATAGTATGGCCACAAAAAGAAACCCTATGGAACGATTGTAATCCAAAGCACTAAACCCTAAGCCCTCAAGGCGTAATGGGCTTTTGGCGCTCTTCGACTTGCGAAGCTGAGATCGGCGCGGGCCTTCGTCGGAGGCTCTCCTCAGCGCGTCATGAACTTCTTAAATTTAGGGCTTTGGTGTTTGCGGTTTCTTCAGAGCTTCAGCCTGCGTGGCTACATGCAGCAGTCGGACAGTTGAAGAAAACCCACCGAAAGCTCCACACTCCACTACCGAACTCACTCATGTCGGTGGCAAGATGCTGCCATTGTCTCATCCACGAAAGAGCCTGTTCTGGGGGTTAGGACTTAGGCTTTAGGAACTTTAGGTGCGATAAGAGAGTCGAGCACAGATCGCAAAGCACAAGTGACAAGTGTGTAGACTGTAAGCACTGTAAAGATAGACTCGGATAGACAGCAAAAAGCAGAATTGCGAAACGAGAGCCTGCTAACCATACGAGTCAAGAGCGAGGAGGAAGAACTGATCCAACACTACGACCACGCCAACCGCAAGTCTGGAGGGTTGGAATAGAGTTTCGGGGTTATGTTATACTAAAATTATAATATGGAACCACTGAAATAGTATAGTATAGTCAATCATTTAAGGCCTCTATATGAGGGTTTCCGAAAATTAGGGACCCGAATATAGTACCCTTAATAGTAGGATCCTTATAAAAAGGACCCCAAAATAAGGTACCCCCTTTTTTTTTCGGAAAGTCCCATAGGAGGAGCTTAAACCCTAAGCCCTAAACCCTAATTAAACCCCTATAAACCCTAAACCCTTCCTCACAGTCGGAACAGAGCTCGGACTCTCCGTGGCCTCCCGCCAGCCCAGAGCGCCCAGGGCTTCCGCACGGCAGGCCTGGTCCTCCCAGGACCGTGGGTGGACACGGGGGTCTTGTTAAGGACTTGGGTTTAGGGTTTAGGGTTTAGGGTTTAGGGTGTAGGGTTTAGGGTTTAGGGCTTAGGGCTTACGGTTTAGGGTTTAGGGCTTAGGGTTTAGGGTTTAGGGTAGTTCAAGTTACCATAAGAAGGAAACCCTACGATGTACGATAGATGCCTATTAGTTATTTATAGTAACTTCAGTTAGAAGGGATTTAACTTAAGGTACTATAAGAATAGGGATCTGTAGCAAAGAGTACGGTTTCTTTATTATGGTAACTTAGATTAAATCCATCCCTTAACAAGAACCCAGTTGAGGTCTCAGAGCTGAATAAAGGGGTACGTGGGTACACTAGTCAGGCTCTCGGGTTTGAGGGTTTAGGGTACTATACGTGAGCCGTAGAAACCTAAAGCTCTACAACACCACGTTAACCCCAAAACTCCATAACCCCCTAAAGCCTGAGCACAAACTTACCGGACCCGTATGCCTACAATGAAGAGTCCAAAATCTGAAATCTTAAACTCGTATGGAACACTTGGGTAGTTCTCTCAAC